CCGAGAAGTGATTCCAACGAGGTCGATGTCTAATTGGAATTTGCTGTACAACTGCTTTTTAACCTCCCCAAGAATTTTGTTGATAAACTTTGCTTCATGCCTGGCAATTAAACAAAGAAGCAGAACTACGAATCATTCGATGTGGAACAAACTACAAGGTTAAATTGAATCCCTAACTTAATAATTTAGAATGACCAAATTATTTTCTTTTTTTATACTAAGATATAATTAACAATTAAGATTGGGATTTAACATTATCAAGTAAGAAAGAATGCATAGTTAAAACTTGAGATGATAATCCAAGGAACAAGAAATTAGTAATTACCCATTGTCAGCATTTTTAAGATCTTCCCCACACAAATCTGCAGCTTGACTGAGAGCATTTCTCCACCGCTGTACCCTTTCTTTCTCATGTTTACCTTCACAGATGCCCGCTTCATGTTTCTCAAATGCTTGTGCAAAACTACCAGTTTGTTTCCGGACATCTGAAACCTCAACATTATAGAACAATGGAATAACCTTTTGCCCCAATCTCTCTCTACACTCCATGATCTTCACCAGCTCATCAAGACACCAACTGGAATCGGCATACCGCTTTGAGAAGACAATTATCGAGATCATGGACCCGTGGATTGCCTGCTCCAGTTGGTTTTTTATAAATTCCGCTCTTTCTAGCTCGTTGTCGTCAAGAAAGGCGCGGATTCCGGCATCAGATAATGCGGCGTGGAGGTGGCCTGTGAAGCCCTTGCGTGTGTCTTCACCTCTAAAGCTCAAAAACACTTGGTACTTCCAAGTTCTTGAGGAGGGGGCTCCAATGGATGTCCTGTCAGCCATTAATTGGTACTACAGAGAACGCTTGTACTAGTGTGAAGGCTTGAGCTGAAGGAGTTGTTTCGTAGTTATTTTTGCTTGGCAGGGATCGGTGTGCTGCAGCAGAGATGAATACATTATTGAAGAAATGCCTATAGTCAAGTCAAGGTCCTCGAACACCTCATTGGAAAGAGCTTTCTCCACCAATTTTGCCATATTTAGCGCTGGCCATGTGTTTTTATTTATTTATTTATATATATATATATATATATCTTTATGCGAGAAAGGAGTCATTCCATGTGCAACAAACTACAAGGTTAAATTGAATCCGTAACTTATTAATTTACAATATTTACTTTTTTAATACTTTTTTCGTTTGCCCATAACGGCCGTCGAATTGAACCCAAAGAAGAAAAAGAACAAGAACAAGAACAAGAACAAACCCAATCCCAATGGCAATAGCAATAAGCTATCCCAAATCCAAGACCCATTTGCGCCTCTCTCTCCCCAAATCCCTGGAACTCAGGTCTTTCTCTATATCTTTTCCTCTCCAGAGATGATTTTCTTTCGCTAACTTCTGTTTTTTATATTTTATAACTAGTGATATTAATGGTTAAACCAGGAATCTAAAAATGGTTGATCACGTGTTTATCAACTCAGAATTGATGTAGCACATAATTAGTCCATGGTTAAGTTTCTAATGTTTTCAAAAAGAAAAAAAAACAGTTTCCAATATCAGCTAACACGAATTTCAGACTAATCAGAAAAAAAATATATATATATATATATTATGTCTACACTGTTTCTATCCTTTGCAAAGGTTTGCAAGTCATCCTTGTAGCAGAAATATAAAAATAAAAACAGATGTACCTTTCCCTAGTCGGTAGTTCCTTGCTGGGTCCGTTCGGAGAAGTTGAGAGGGGAAGCGAAGGTCTGGGGGGGTAAAGAAGGGAGGGAATAGGAGGAGGAGAGGGAAGGAAAGTCACTGATACCGAAAGAGAACGATGGTTGAAACTTGTATATTTTTTCTCTAGTTGTGTATATTAGTTTACGGGTTTTAAAATGCAATAAAATATTGCATAACACACCGCATGTATCATGATTCATGCTTCATGACGAGGACAACAGATCAGATAATAATAGTCATTTGGAGTTGGAGTGGCCCATTTAATTATTAAACCACTTTGTGAGGTTGCTTATTTATAATAATAGTTTCTCTCAAAATAATAATAATAATAATAATAGTCATTTGGAGTTGGAGTGTCCCATTTTTTAGGATTAAATATTTTTTTAGTCATTGAATTTTACACGAAAATTCAATTTAGTCATTGAGAAAAAATTTAGCCAAATTAGTCATTGTATTTTCCAAATTTAAAGTTTATAGACATTCTGTTATCTTTCATTAAATGTAGCTTTTATTTT